TAAAAATAAACGTAATTATAAATTTATTTGAGGTAGATTTCGTAAATATGTTGCCGAGGTTTGGAGTGGAACGGAGTCTGAATGTGGAACACCCCTATTAAAGAAATAATTTTCTTCCTCCAAAAGACAGAGAGAGAGTTTTAACTAGCCTTTGCGAGAGTCCGTCCGATGGAGAGTCCCATACACCCCCTGCCGCCTGTTAAGCGGCAGGGACAGTGCATAGTGTTCCCCTATGTCAAAAAAGTTTGGAGGTGACAAATTTTCAAATAATTGTTGAAAAAAAAATAGTTTATGATGCTCTGTTTCACGCAACACACAATTCTCTATTTATTTCATTGAAGCCCGAGGACTGTATTTGTTTCTTTCTTTACATGTAGCTTCATTGAACGAAGTAATTTAATTCATGAAGAAGTTTCAAGTGTATAATTTATTAAGATTATTTATTTACTTTTTGGTGATTTTTTATTTAGTTTAAGAACTTATTTGTTATGTTTTTTTGTGATTTTTATGTTTGTTTTGCTATTATATGTAATTAGTACATCTGCACATAATCTGTTTCCTAATTAAGCCCCACTTAGAGGTTACTGTCGGACTTTTCATTCAGTTACACACCTAAAAATAGGTCTCTGTCAGGCGGAAATAGGGCTGTCAGTCTTTCAAAATTATCTTTTAGTTATTTTGTGAATCGATTTAAGGTGAATTCATAAATAAATAGTATTACAATAAGTTATACCATAAATTATATAAACATAATATTTAATAGAATATTTTGAAATTTGTGTTACATTTTCTCTCGAATTTTTCGGTGTGTAAGATCACAGTTCATTAAAGTCGCATTTGTATATATATATAAATAAATTATTCCTGCTATTAATAGATATTAATATATTTTACAATTATTGTGAATATTTCGGATATTTTTTTTTCCTGTAATAAAATAATAAGAGACGTTAATTGATAAAATAAATAAATGAAAATTAGGGTGTGTTTTTTATCCTATAGAAAAAGAGATAAACTGTTTTTTGAAACAGTTTATCTTGATAAGATATGTTACTTGAACTTTGATGAAGACAAGTTTATAGCAGTAAAATTGACGTACTGTATATTAATTTAAAAGTCTCCAGTAGTTACCTTCTCATCTCCAGCACCTGAAATACTTTATCTGTGATAGATTTATTCTGAAAGATAATATAAGTATTATAAATGCAAAACTTATCAATTTTAATATTTTTTTATTGTTTGTTTACTATGTTGTGGAGTCCTACGTAGACAGCCCTACACGGAAGGACACGCAAGGCCACATTCATTGTCGAGATTAACACAATTGGATAGTTCGACCGATGCTGACGGTAATTACTGCTTGTTTTTCAGATAATTGCCCACCACTCGACAATATTCGCTCGATAATATTATTATTTTATACTATACTTGTTTCATAGTTGAAACATCAAGATCAAAATAGGCGTCATTACATATTAGTAGTATACCTTCTTTGAAAATTTTGCATCAAACTTCTCTGCGTTCTGATTTTCTTTTATAATGAAACGAAAGTAAATTGAATTTGGCAAACTAATAATATAACGTCATTATATTTTGTGCTCTTCTTTAAACATTTAAAGCTTCTGATGGGTTTGAAATGTTTAAAAGAATAAAAACCTTTTAAATAATTTAAAAAAGACATTTAAACTTTATAAATTTAGTTTTAAGTGTCGCAATGGGCGTTCATAAGATGGATGACGAATTTACTATCTCGAACTCCCCCTGTGCTTCGGAAGGCACGTTGAGCCATTGGTCCCGGCGTTTTTTTAATTATACTATGGATAACGAAAGAAAATAACATACATACTTGATATCATTTTAATATATTGGTTTCTTGTCAAAATTTACATGAATAATTCGAATATTGTACCTCTATCTTGTGATATTTATTTCAATAATTAATTTGTTATTTAAAGAAAAAGGTATTTAATATTTGCTAACAATAAACCATTTTTCAATTGAAACAATTAATTAATCAAAATATCGTTTACTTTTTATTACGCTACGCTATGCTACGGGATATAAACCATGTTTTGTATATGTAGGTAAATGCGTAATGTAAAAGGAAAAAGTAAACGATTGTTTATGATTCAAAGGGAATTATGTGGGTTTTTTTGAATGTTTTTGTGTAAAGAAAACAAATTTATCTGGTGTATGTTTTTGTTTAAAGATTATAGAATATCTAAATTATATAAAAAAAATATAACCGTTACATAACCGCGTCTTTGGTTTATCGATCGCTACTCTAATGTATTTTTAAATTTATTATTATACTAACTTTCCGCCAGCGGCTGCGCCCGCATAGTCCCTAGGGAACTGTTTATTTGGATATCGATTTATATCATGACACGGATGTTATTACAAGAAAAATTGAAAAATAAACAATAGTTACTATGGTAATGTTTTAATTCACTAAACAAAATTACATTTTCATTCCTTTATTTCCTGTTTTTGGGGATAAAATATAGCTTATGTTCACCGCATATGATGTAGCTTTCCGTAGGTGAATGAATTTTTAAAACCGGCCCAGTAGTTTCGGAACTTATTAGTTGCAAAACTATTCAAGTACTTATTAGTTTAACACAGTCGGTAGTTTGTGTTATCACATTTTGGGTTTTAAACCAATATATCACAGCAAATATCATAGATTTTCGACTCGAAAAACAGCTCTTAAAGGATCTTGCCGTTTTTTCTTAAAATGATGTTATTTTTGTTTTTCGAACGAATGATTTTTCTGACTTAACAAATGACCCTTACCTACTTTATATATACTTTAAAATATTAAAAATTGTTGTACGAAATTCAACCTTAGATATTATTTATAAGCCACCTTTTAGTTAAGTATCTTCTTTTGAAGTCTGTTTTATTTTTTAGTTATCACGCAGTGTTTACATTTGTGCTAGATATGTTACAGCTTACAATGTAATAAAATAGGGTTGTGTCTTAGAAGTGAAAATACAGGTCTCTGTTATATGCTTGAAAATTGTCAAGCATTCAAACTGTTAAATATTTATAAAAATAAATTTTATGACACCAATTTAGAAATATTACGCTTCGAAAACTTGTAAAAAATAGGGTTAATATATATAAATTACATATGACATAAAATCAATTACTTAAAACGTAATAACTTACATTGCAACAACTATAAACAATACACAAATAACAAAGATTAAATAAATAATAATAAAGATTATAGGTTTTCCTTACCGCAGTAAGATAAGTATTTTTTCGGCACGACTATCAGCAGTTCCATAGATATAGCACCGTATATCCAAAACTATTAATCGCAGATATGCTATTTGCCGACGATGACGACAATAAAACCTTTTTAAAGTTATTTTATACTTTTAATATTTTCTTTTTTTTTTGGTTTAGTATGTCAATATATAAATATCGAACCTACGGCTTTTATTGTAGAATTATTATCACTATTACTTCTACATTGTTCAGATATTAATAGACTATTTATTTATAAAAAAAAGTAACTAGCCTATAGCACAAGTGGAATGGGCTCTAAGAATGAATAAGCTCGCGATTGGTTTGGCCCATTCGGAGACTCGTTTTTGACAAAATTGTTTGACGCACTTCGCCATTGAGCTTAACGTTAAATGATTCAAAATTTAAATATCGATTTTTATTTATTTCAGCGCGTGCTGGTACGCACACGTCTAAGTGATAGTAATATTATCGCTAGTAAAGATGTGTCATGCGTCAAAATTTATGTCATGCACTCCCACAGTTTGTCACTACTCTTATATTAAGGCATGCCAAAGTAGTGTATAAATATTTGCACGTGTTCATGCCGGCTTGCACACATAAATATATGCACAGATAAATATACAAAGACTTGCGGGTTCAGTTATTGCAATAACTGTGTAAAATATTGCGTGATAATATTAGTAAAATTTTAGAATATTATTTTATACCTAATTCAAACATGATTATGTCGGGCTCAATTCTATATTACAATTTGTTTTACCTAAAACCTATAAATTTTATGTATAAATAATTCAAAGAATCTTATTTAAAATAAAAAGAAATTCTTAAACAGTCTCCTTTTAAACAATACTTATTGGAAACGTTTGTACATATTAATTAAGATTTGTATTTTTCTATGACTTCTTGCAAATTAGCGACATCAAATTGAAATATACTTCAAAATATGTTCAAGTGCCGTTGTCTATTTAATAATAGGAGCGAATCCAGTTTGCAAACAATACCTCTATTGTAACTTTAAGTACTTCTTGGAAGCAGTTGACATGAATGAGATGAGTTTATTATTACCAAGAAATTAAATGTCCCGCACCGAGTACTGGTGTACGCATCTGTAATCCTTAGTTTTAATTTAAGATACACGACGTAGTATAATAATGAAAATGTATGAAGATGCTTCATAAATCTTTCCTATGCTACATCTTCATGTCATTCATGTCATTAGATTTGTAATAAAATGAAAATATACAATTTTAATATTGCACACCTTAGTAATAATTATATTCTTACAGTATATTGGAAAAAAGTGAGTCAAATCAACGAGAAAAAAACAAAATATTGAGACAAAATTAAATCTAAAACTAAATAATTTTTGTGCAATTGACCAATAATACTATTGTTAGGCTAAATAATCTATCGCTATGAGTTTTACAATCTCAACTTTACAATTACAATCTCATTTCATATTCCAAAGTAATTCTCTAAAGTCGGGTTCCAATTATAATTAAACTGTGGATTAGTTAACGTTACTGTGTATGTAAAATCGATAGTGATTACTACAAATTGTAACGTCTTCACTATTTAATAAGGGTTAACAATAATATACAAAGATAAGAAATCCTAACCGAACTATATACGTCACCATAGGCGTACATCTAAACTCCCATAGTTTACCCCAAACGTACCGCTGATTCACACTGTATATGGCCATCAGGCATTTATAAATCGCCACAGTGACGCAACCTATCATTGAATAGCGAGCTCCGAACGTAAACAGACCATTAAACGAAAATGGCCTCCGCGCATAAACCCATATCGACAATACTGAATGTCCTCCAAACGATACTAAGCGTAATCTTAGCAGGTATATCAATATGGTTTTTCATCGAGCTAAAGAGTTTAACAGACCTGAGAAACCGCGATAGATATTTATTGGACTTCAGCGTATACTGGCCTCAAGTACTACCGTGGATATTCTTCGTGATCAGTGTGTTCGTGATATGTGTGTCCTTGTGCGGTATCTACGGTGCTTGTAGTGGTAGAAAAGCTGCTGTCATCACTTATATAACTTTCCTGTCAATTGTGATAGTTGCCGCGTTCGCTGCTGGTGTCATGGGCTTGGTTTGTGGCGACACTAAGTCGACGGACGATTTCGTTTCGGAGACAGTGAGAGATGCTTATTCACAAATGAAAGTGAGGAAGGACATCATAGTAGCCTTCGGAAAACTAGAGAGCAGATTGAGATGCTGTGGTACGTCAGGAGCATCGGATTATACATCGGGCAAAATTCCAGACTCGTGCTGCGATAAGAACGAATTGGTCGAGTGCGAAAACTCAGCTAGCAGGCGTCTCGGCTGCGTAGAAGTAGTAGTGCCATACTCAAGAATGTTCATCAGGTATACGTCAATTGGTTCCATAGCGATCGCTGTTGTTTGCCTTGCTAGTTTAATTGTAGCAATTTTATTACTCAGATCGAGTAGGAGTAAAAAGGACAGATTAAAGTCTGAAGCTGAGAAGGAACCTTTGAAATTGCCATTATAATTAGAACGTTGCTTGTCTAACTGCTGTGTACTGAAATATTTCAAATTAGAATGTTCAAAATGCATTGTATAAATTGTAAATATTTGAATGTATGTCTTGAAGCAGCTGTCTGTAATTGAGAATTATGGGTTATGAGCGTAATGTATTCTTGTTAGAAATTTAGGGCATTTATTTCGTAATTGTTAGTTAATATTTACTAAGTGTAAATACTAATATTGCAATAATAGTTTTTACATTAATTTTGTGTGTTGCGAAGATGTTACAGTGTCTCATACCAAAAAGTATTTTTATGTAATATTATTTTATTAGTATTAATAGAATTACAATTCGAATATTCTTTTAATTTTACACAGTTTACAAGCTTTAATAAAAAAGTTACATAATTACTTAGTTACCTAAGATTAGATCTGATAGGTATTGTAATAATAGAAAGTTATAATTAAGTAAGTTATTTATTTAGTTATTAACAAAAGTTCTATAAATAACAATAAAAAAATTAAAATTAGTGATTTCTTTTATTTGTTTTGACACCTTCTTTTTTAATTTACACATATTTTCAAATAAAATACTTCATCTACATAATTAAATGAATTAACTTAAAGGAGTAAATTCACTGTAAATTAATTGTCATAAAGAAAAAATATTTACTGAATAACTAAAATATATAATGGTATAAATATAGTTCAATGAGGTTCACACTTGGGTCTTTTATTATTTTAAAATTTTATGAATAGTTAACTTTACTAGAAAGAATTATGAATAAATTTATTATAAGTGTTTGTGCGCTGTAAATAAAAACGTATTCTAATCTATTTTATTCTATTCTTTTCATCTTACCTTTAAAATAACTTTTGGCTACTCAATGAATGATAAGAATGATAGCTAAAATTCAAAAAGCGTTATTAATAAACAAGGTTTAGCGTTGGAGTAAATTAACGCTGAGACTGCACTCTGTATTATTCAAAATTCATATTATTAAACAGAGACTTAGCAAAGGTTAACCTATTACGAGGTTCGAAGATTTACTCCTAGAAGTTAGATTTGCTTATTCTCTGTTTAATATAAATTTGGACTAATATTAAAATTCCAATTTTAGCGTAAATTTACTCTGACGCTTAACCTTGTTTATATATTAATATTATATATTAAATTTACTCTGACGCTTAACCTTGTTTATATATTAATAAACAAGGTTAAGCGTCAGAGTAAATTTACGCTAAAATTGGAATTTTAATATTACTTCTTGAAAGCAGTAAGGTGCAGGTATTGCTTATTTTTAGACATACAAAAGTCTAACAATATCACTCAAAAATGAATCTTTAAATAAAACGAATTTTTAAGCTCCATTTAAAACAGCCGAAGAGGAATTGTTAAATGATTTTATTTTGATTAGGAATTTTAATAAATCTACATTTGACTTTGACTTCTTCGTAGTTAAATGCATTCAATTGATATACAGCACCGAATCACATAACAATTAACTCTTAAAGTGAAAAGGTCAAATACATATTACGTTATTTGACATTTTGTCACGTGTAGATTTTCTCGTTGAAAAACACACTGGTTCTATATTATATATTAACAGTTTATAGTAAAGTTCATGATAACGCATATTTTTATACGTCAAAAATTTCATAAATATTATAATACTATATATATTAATATTATTAAGCTTCTAATTTTATTTGTTTGTTTGAAGAAGGGTAATTACCGGAAATATTGATTCAATTGAAAATTCTCTTACCAACAGAAAGCTACTTTACACGCGGGTGACAGTATAATAAGTATATACTTTTTGAATAAAAATATCTTGTTCTATAATATAACATTGATAATATATATGAATGATAACATTTATATTATATTTTTAGAGGAAACTATAACATTAAAGATACAATAAAAAATTGTTTGCGATATTTTTCGTCTTTTAGAAGGCGCCATATTCAATTTAGTGTGACGTCGCTTCTATTGATTTCTACCTATAGTCAAATTACTGTAAGTAGATAACTTAGAAGTTAATGATGAACTAAGAGTCATATCACTGATTCTACTTTTCTATTTACCGTAGTCACGTAAAAATAAAATCACGCCTTGTATGACGCCTGTATGCCATGGTAGATAATGTGTTGTCGACCTTCACAGACAGCTCACATACAGTTTATTACTGAAAAATAACATAAACGGTTCATTGATCATTACCAGTTTTCACTCCAAATAGTAACAAGTTTCCAGCCTGTCACCAAGTGCTTCAATCGATTTTCAATTGAATAAAAGTAACTAATGAATTTTACTTTCAATTTCGTTTAAAATTCAACATGGAATATTAATAAAAATATTTAAAAGTAATGTCTTTTTTGCATTTGGAACAAAATATCTTTTAATACCTAGTAATTGTCTTTTGAGGGAATTACTTTAAGTGCATATTTGGTACATTTATTACTGTTTCCTTTTTCATTTAAGTACCTTAAAGAATCGTTGTTGTATCATTGGTCCTTGACGAATGACGCATATATGCGTCATTTATTTAATATTGACCGCAACATCTCTGTACCAAAGATTGAATCACATTCACTGGTTACACAGGACTTAATTGTCAAATAATAAATGAACAGGAAATATCAATTATATTTAAACAATGAGGCTTTTCAAAACATATTTTTATATCTATGTTATTTAATAACAGATCAAAATTACAAGTCGAGTATAGAGAACTTGCTACACGCGTGTTAGTTGGAAAGGTAATGGAGCAGTCGCCAGGATTAGGAAAGGTCATAGTTTCGAGTTCGATCCTAGAATACCAGGGACGGAATACCAGGGGTGGTTTTTTGAAGCATTTTTCACTAAGAAGATTTTTTGGTATAGCATTCTGAATGAAAAATTGTTTAAATATAATAAATGGAATAATAATTTTTATTCCATAACATGATGTGTTAGTTAAGACTCATCAGCAGAGCGATTCCATAAAAATTCCGGACTTATTGAAAATACGTCTAACTTAAAAAGTGGCAAAGAAAATGTGGTTTTGACTGATAACTTTAATTGTAATCCATTTCTCCCAATGGCATTATTTAAAAAAAAATGTGGCAGAATAGTAGAAATTTAGTGAGCTTAGTTGGGGTTATGATTAATAATACAATATGTAGGGGGTTGAAGTCATTCACTCCGTGCAATGCCGCTCGAAGTTCCCCTGCTGAGCCGGGATATGCTAGTGAAGATAGAATCCTTCAAATTAAACCACATCAAAATGATTTCACGAAGCAATACCCCTCTGTCACTCTAATATTGAATAAAACAATGACTGAGGATTCCAAAAATGCTTTAGAAAAATGGAAGCAAGAAAGAATAGCTGAAATGGGATTAGAAGAATTTAATAAATTTTATGAAGGTATGTTGATATTATTATTGACCGCATTATGGATAATTTTGTACATATATTTGATGATATTTTTTGTAAAAATTTGTACATTTGTCTAGTTGAGACACAAAACTCCTAACTCATAATCATAACTAATTGATGGAACTTATTATACGGATAATTCTAAGCCTGAATTAAGAATTCACTTATTGTCCGAAAATATTTGAAAACACAGAAGTGTCAAATTCTATGTAATAATTTACTTTAAGTTAATAATTTACCAATCTGTCTCACATATCTTTAATTTCTTTCTGAGTTTAATATTTGCCGCCAGCCCAGTGCGTATTGGTGGGTATGCAGCTGGGGCCAATGTCTTAGAGTGCATTATTATAAATTTATGGCTTATACCTAAGTATACCTAGATCTAGTGTGGTAATAGCAATGGCGGACGAATTCCAGACTAAGGCCCGGGGCCTCATCAGGCCCAAACCAACCTTTTCCAACTTGATATTGCGATTAATCCTTCCCGCGCTAAGACTACGAAACTGGACAGTACAACACCAATTTATGATTCGATCAAGGAAACTTGCTCCTTCTTCCTTCTTGCTCCACCTCTCCCGCTTAGTCCGAAACTGGATAATTGTTAAAGATAATTGTAATAATACATAGAGTTGTATCTTAATAAGAATAATGTTTACAGCAGCCATGTGATCAAAATTCTCATCTGTTCTAATATTGAAGTTTAAAGCCAATTTAATATTAAAGTTTCAAAGTAGTGATGTTGCGGGATTGATATTGGATTGATATCCAGTCAAGTCAATGTAGGAAATAAAGAAATAGGTTTTAATTCACCCACGAAAAGTTACAAACAGATTGTCCAAATCTTTTTACACAAAAAAACATAACAAACGATTTTGTGTTGATTTTACTCCGTTCATCTACTGTCGTTAACACCCACCAATCCGCATTGGGCCCGTGTGGTAGGCTATTCAACCTATTCGATTTGGTTCGATTCCGAAATGAAGATCTGTGCCCCAGAATTGAGGACGTTAATATTCTGGATGATGTCTATCGCGCTAATTGAAACGCTTGATTCTACTTAATTGCTACAACTTTAAAATCAATTGCTGGGAACGCTAAATTATATGAATAATTGTACCTGTATTAAATCGTTGGAACACAAAGGAAATAAACGATACAATTTGTCTTTACTAGCAATTGTTTTCGGCTGGAATCACATTTCATTGCTCGCGTGAAATTTCAGGAGTTATTAAAATATTTTCCGTGAGATCACTTCAATAAAATGAATAATGGAAGTAGTTATGCAAAACTGAGTCCAATCACAAAGATTTAAACGAGATAACATGAATAAATATATTTTTTTTAGTAAAAAAAAGAGATGTAGGTAATCTTACTGCAACTTGATGTAAGATTAGGTAAGGAAACATACTAGTAATTGGATGGGTGACCGAAAATGTTAAAGGAATGACATAAAGATCTGTGTATATATAAATAATTTCGAGCGGTTTAAGTATTTTCAATACTTACTGATCTTGATCCAAAGTATACGGGGTAGGCATAATACATCCGATAAATTTAATATCTATCTGAATAAATTCTGAAAAAATCAGATTTTATATTTGAGGTTTTTATAATTTTTTTTTTTGCAAGTGTTACCCGTGGCCTAATTGTCTCATTTTATAATCTATTATAACCTCTTTCAAGCATTTAGCTGTTATGATAATGATTTATGGAATTGTATAACTTTAAGTCACAAAAGCTATAATATAAATGTTATAGACAAGTGTATGTTCGTTTGATATTTTTTCATAACTTTGATATTTGTAACTATCAATTTATTTAGACAATTTTGATTGACGTCAAATAAACGTAATAGTTATTTCAATATTTAAAAAAAAAATAACGTCGCGATCTCAATTGCTATCACATGTCTTATAGTTGTATTGTGAAGTTTGTGTATATGTTTCAAACGTCAAATTCAAATATGGATGTAATCGATTTTAAAAATAGGCCACAGGTTTGAACAGAAAAGTAAAGATATAGAAATTATAGATTATAGCATTTAATTGTCTTTGATTCGCCTGTATTGTATTTGGTTGGAACCCTAAAAATTAAACAAGATTAGTCAAAACAGCTGTTTTATTACATAAATTTTGATTGAACGAAATTGTCCCTCATATAGCATACCTCATATAGTTTGGGCCGTTATTTAGACTTCCATTCAAACCAAATCGAAGTAATTAATATTGAGGACGCATTACTTCCCAACTGTAATTAAGGTCTGAGCGTCTATCCTACTAACATAAAATACGTATGACTGTTTGTTATTAAGCACGAGCGTTAATACAGAACTAGTAAGACAATTTTTTTTTTTAAACTAAATCAGTGTTATTATTATTAAAAAACAAGGTTTAGCGTTAAAGTAAATTTACGCTAGAATTGCAATTCTAGCGTTAGTTCAAATTAATATTATACAGACAATAAGATAACCTTCTACCTTCTAGCAGTAAATAATACTCCCGTAAAACCTTGTACTAGGTTAACTTTTGCTGTCTCTGTTTAATGACATGGATTTTGACTTTACTAAGCGTAGTCTCAGCGTAAATTTACTCCAATGCTAAATCTTTTTTATTAATAACACTGACAGAGCACAATTAGCGAAAATATGAACAAAGACACACAAATTTTATTACAACTTTGATTTTTTCCATCGAGAATTTTCTTGGTTACATTTTTTGACATTTTTTCTCTGTACAAAACTAATTAAAAGGCAGTGTTTTTCATACGCGCCAATGTAAGGCAAGTAAATTTTGATAAGTTTCCAATCAGAGATGAAAATTATAGGTACTGTTTCTATAAAATTTCGCTTACTTTTCATATAAAAATGTTAGCAACAGTTTTTACCTTTTTTTATAGTATTATGTTGGCGGGAATTGTGGAGTAGAGACTCACGCTCGATTTACGGACAAGGTCACAACCGCTTTAAATTACACTACAATAGCTAAACGGTTTTTTAACGACATCTGTCATACAGTTACAGTATTCAAGGAACCAGTAGACCAATTTTTCTGTTGTTGTTAGGTACTAATTGCATGTCAATAGAATTTCTTGCATAAAGTCCAATTTTATTGCATATCTGTCACCAAAGATGTGTAAGGAAGACATTGCACTAATAATATTACAGTGCTATTTATAATCAAGGTTTATAATATTATAAGTATAGATTATTAATATACCTATTTAATATATCTTAGGCTTTGTCAACGTAGCTAGAATAATGTTTAATATATTGTGATGTCCTTTTACGTTATAATAATGTGAGCTTGTTTGTAAGTTCATTCTATAATATGCACTAACCATGGCATGAGTAATAGTATGTAGACATTTTACATGGTCGTGTCAAATAAATATGTATATAGAGATTTTGCTTTATTGTCGCAGATTTTCATTTGGTAATAAATTATAATAGAGAAAACGCAATTATAAAATTTGAATCAACGTCAGTCTAATAAAACAATGTAGAGTCTAAAGTATTTTAAGAAAATAATCCAATTATAGAGGGCCAGTAATTCAAAATTTATTAAAATAATAGTGTCTACGAGGTATTCTATAAAAATGTCGATTTATATTGTCAGTTAGTCCTAGAAAATTGTATATACTCGTACTTTAAAAATTGCTGAAAAATCAATTGTAAAGTTTTCTAGTATATTTATTGGATTAAGATTCAGTAATTCTTCATAAATATAATATCATATATTATATTATGCCAATATTAAAGAACACAGAAATATAGGTCTTACTTAATGACAGTTACACGCTTCTAAAATAATTGTCGTCACAAGAAATTGTTTTTGTATGAGTCATAAAGAAGTAGTTATGCAATAAATAATAAAAATCATCACGTTTCAAATGACGAACTTGGATAACTTAGATCGTATACTTAAACTTAAGTTGATTGATAAAAATGTAAAGAAAATTAGATTTTAAAAGTAAAATAAGTCATTAGTCATTACTATTTAATTTATTTAATTAAAGTATATATAACATCGTCTTCTGGAATAAATTGATGAATAATACTGTTTACTTAATACATTGTTGACATCTTCAATAGTCCAATAAAGTACCCGAAATTATCTATCAAACGCGTAATAACATAATTCGATCGTTACTAGGAACTAGGAATACATGACTCATACAAAGTCTTCATAAACCGCCGTTCTTATAGTTGAAGTTGCCAGTTTCAACGCCATTCCATTTGAAGCATCGTAACGAGCGCACGTATATACACAAATAAATAAAAAAAATGTCAGCGAAACCTTGCGCGTACGTCGTGAACGTGATCCACGCGTTGTTGGGCCTAATTCTCGCCTCTGCGGGACTATGGCTCTTCATAGAAGTGAATAGCATCACCAGTTTGAGGAACAGCAACCATTATCTACTAGACTACAACTTATATTGGCCTCAAGTTATACCATGGCTGTTTATACTGATAGGAGTGCTCGTCATTTTCGTTGCGTGCTGTGGTGTTTTCGGTGCTACCAAGAAAAGTAAAGGGCTAGTGTTAACACATATGGTTTCTATAACTATGACAGTGGTTTTGACGTTGACAGTTGCAATTGTCGCTTTGGTGTTTGCGAACAGTAAGTCGACGGAGAATTTTATAAAAGACACAATATGGGACGTATTTTTCCAAACTAAGACGGATACAGAAGTTGCCGATGCGTTTGGTCTGATCGAGAAAAGGATGCAATGCTGCGGCGCGGAGAGTCCAAGAGATTACGTCAATTGGAAGGATGATTTTCCTCAATCCTGTTGCGACGTATATTACCACGGTTGGTTGGAACCTTACACCGTCGACTGCGAGATCACAAATAAAAGGGCGAACGAGAGACACGGCTGCTCTAGTGTAGCGACACAATACATCCGCATTGCTGTATACGTTCTATCAGGCGTCGCGATACTGACATCACTAATAGGTCTAGCGGTCCTTGCTACTTCAGTAAGTATATCAAAGGCTTTAAAGCAAAAACCGAGAAACGTGACGGCTAAATATGAATCTGAGAGCAAAAAGGTTCTATTGTAATACTTTTGTGTGCGAGGTGTTTTCCTCTATTGTTGCCTTTTGTGGGTCATGTGACCCGAGTGCTTGGCGTAAAGTTTTTCAATTCTCACTTGTAGAAAATGACTAACTACGCTCATATAAGTGTTCAGAAGTTTTCTATTGACTGATTAACATATGATATGTATGTTTTTAGTGAGAGTTGTGACATTGCTTTAACTAGAGGTACCTATTTGTTTGCGTTTTAAGTTTGCAAGTGAATTTAACTGGTAACGTGTAAAAATATTGAATGACGTTTGAATGTATGATTATTTATTATATGTATAAAATTAATAGTATTTACTATATAAGAACTAAGAATCTTGATGGAAATCTCATAATTTATAATTTTTACATCACAAAAGTGTAAAAGCAGCATTATAATGTATATAATGAATGGAAAATTTTCTCAGATGCTATGTTCTAGAATAATCGAAACGTGTTAATGATTGACTTGTTTCTAAGTAGATAACTAATTAATATTAAAACCAGTATTGTAATGTAAATATTGTGAACAAATTAAGAATTTTCGATTCAATATCTTGAATCTTGTAACAAATGAAAGTAATAGAAATTCATTTGCTGGACATTTTCATAATAACATTAAAAATCAGGGTAAAATTTGACACCTCAACGAATATTATTAAAGTTCTTTTATGTTTATATAAAAATAACATTAAGTTGATTTATAGGAAAGTTGTGATAGAACAAAAATTTATGGTAGTTTTCAATCGGGGAAAATCCCCATAACTATATTTTCCCTCTGAATAGTGGAAAATTCAAGTGTGAATTATAAGCGTTTGTGTCTTGTGTATAGAAGGAAAAACGTTTTGTCTCTGTTTTTCCCGAACGATATAAAGTTTTATGTAAATTGTGATTGTATAAATATCTTGTGGTTAATATTAATTTAGTATATTAATTAATTATTCAATGATAATAATACAAACTCTGATTTACAAACAGAAAATGTTTTCGTTTTATACGAAGGAAAGAGTTAAGTTATTTCAATGTTTGTTATAAACTTATTTACTGAATTGTTTTGTACAAAGTCACTCCGATCCCGCCTGTATAAATTAAATAAAAAGATATTCGAAACATGTGCTTCATTTATTTTAGCAACTAGAAGACCTGTGAATTTCGTGCCGCTTCTGAATACGCTTATATTGGTAGTGATTCTATTTCATAAATTAGATTTTATTTAAGTTCAGTGCTGTGAAACTGCTTTGTTAATTGTGAAATTAACTGATATAACAGTAGCTCCTTCTATATATTACTATACATAAGCGATAATGATTCTTTGATTATATTGCTATGAAATGACGTAAAAACAAACCCAAATTAAAGTTACATATTCTAGTTTAATTTAGAGTTAGTATAACATAATTGGCACCAATGTAGGATTATATAGATGAAAGTATTTTTGAAATCGGTCTGTTCAAATCATTCCTTTTTTATAATATTGGCGTAGATAACAAATTACCTGGTTGTATGTATGTTGTTACAAGTTAGCTAAGACGCAAAATGTAGTTATGAGTCATAAAGTCATAACGGTCGTAAAGCTCTAAGTATAAGATTTGAGTCATTATTTTTCTAATTTAGGTATTGAATTTAGTATGACTCACGTTAAATCTATTGGTCGTTGTTTTCCTTTGAATTTAAAGGGTTTTTGGTGTCATTGAAATTTCTAAAAATGTAGAGTTTCGGTTTATAAATAAGAATGTGGGAATGGGTTTTTTAACTTTATTTAGGTTATATGAGGTGGCAACCTATAGCCTAATTATCTAATCTATTATGATCACTTTGAATTTGATTTTTTAAAGATACTCACGAACTGTAAGCTATAACTATATGACATGTGACAGCAATTCCTATCGCGACATTATCGCGAATTATCTAACATATTATATCATTCAAATCATAATTCGTTCCAAAAGCGGTTGTAATTTTGAAAGTTACACAATTCCATAAATTTCTATCGAGTCCTTTATACATTTGAAAGGGATTGAGGTGGTTTTAAAATTAGACAATTATGCCACTGTTTGGAGCAACAAATGAGAAAGATCTCTTTGGAACAACAAATGAGAAAGACGAAGCACCATGTGATGTGTAAACATGGTGGGCATTGAATTTTAACTTTGCCGTGGCATAGCTTCGGGTGTAAAGTGATGTTTACATATATCTCGCTTGCCCGGCGATGTCATATTTAGCAAGGGAGTGGTTATATTAGTCCCTTTCCACATGTCAACCAAATGTGTGAAAACTAGTAACAAATCACTAAATGTAACTTGCGCTTAGTGTTTAGTATTCAAATACTAATGTTTAATTTGTATAGCTGTCTCGCTCTTTCTGAGCTCTCGCCCCTTTTGTCGTCTAGTCATCAGACAGTGTTTGTGTCAGCTCCGTAATTATATTAATTATCAGTTATAATACGTTCCTTTTGCCTGTGACTATAAAATATTTGTTACTAACGTAAATACAAGTTTAGTAAATAAAGAAAGTGTCAAGTTAATAGTTGTTTATTGTTAATATAGTTCAACAAATATGCAACACTCTTGTGGTCCTAGCTCAGAAGGAGCGAGACAGCTATACAAATTAAACATTAGTATTTGAATACTAAACACTTAGCTTAGAACAGGTTTTTGTTTTTTTAAACGTTGATTTCTGAGGAAGGTTCTTACAAAGAGAAAAATGGTAAAAAAACTACACAAACACGATGGTTATTCTAAACGAACACGACGTGACGGTTGTCGACTGTATCAGTTCATTATTAAACCTAATGATAAATTACAATATTGTTTCAAGTGTTTCTGAAAAAATGTATTGATATTAAATATTGTCATTATAAATTATAAAAACTAGTTTGTCATCATTTATTTATCGAGATATGTAGCTAAAGTTTGTCATCTCAAACCTGTTATTAAGTGACTGTTAGTGAGTCATCGAGTTAATTTCTGTAACTACCGCAATGGCGTGAACTGAGTGATAGGGTTAGCGGAATTGATACGCTTCGGCAGAGCGATTCCGTTAAATTCCGAACCCGAACTCAACTTCACTTAGGTATCCGAATTCACTTCGAAAGCGACATCCGCTTAGCATGGAGTACATCGGTAAGCACGTTAAGACATTGGTTCCGGCTGGACTAGCAGTCGTTAATATTCAATCCGCAATGGGCCAGCGTGAAGGTCATGGTCCATCCTCCTGAATCGTGTGCAGTGAGGACGTAGAAGGGCTGACGATGATGAAGATAACATAACACCGAAACCCGATGCAATATAGAAAATATCATTTTCTACATTCATCCGACTGGGATTGCACCTGGGACTTTAGAGATTGCGACACCTTTAAACTGGTGTGCCAACAACGCAGCTTCGTTTTAGGATACCGTACCCAAAGGACAAAATAGGACCATATTACTAAGACCCTGCTGTCTGTCCTTCTGTCTGTCTGGCTGTATCTTACGAACCATGTCAGTAAGACATATGAAAGTATCTCAAATGATATATTTCTGTTTTGTTAAAAATAGAACAGAATAAATATTTAAGGAGGCTCCTATACAATGTGATTTTGTATAGGAGCCTCCTTTGGGGTTTTTTAATAGATAATGGTGCGGAACTCTTCGTGCGCGAGTCGGATTCGTACTTTTTTATCTCATAATTTAATAAACCATTTAGGCTTTATTGAACCCATGTCTGTTCTTGGACTGGTTCCGTCGCTAATTCTTATGTTGATAATTATTTCCCAAGACTAGATTTTAAGGGTGCAAATAGTATAATCCGTTAGGTCGCTCTTCATTTCGATTATTCCTTTAAATAAATCTTAAAGAGATACATGATGTTGACTTAACCGTACTCTTTTTTTTTCAATATGGAAACGTTTTCTTACACTTCATTGGACGTGCACAGAAGTGGTCAAAAAAGTTTTTTGTTTCTTAATTTTGAAGCCGTTTCATTGAAGTGTAGAAAGAGGAAACCGACACACGACCGTACCAATAAGTTTATATTATAATCAGATTATCTTCCACCTCCTTGACGGGATGCAATCAGATTATATAGGAAGAATTCGCAAAGTGGCTGGTTAAAATTAGACGAGAGTAAACGAAAATCGGGAAGTAGTTGGACATAGGCTGATTATAGTGATAACCGAATTGATCACGAAACATGATGCTAACCCCGAAATCGAATTTCCTACCTTCTAAATTGAAGTTGTGTATAAATTTGTTATTCATTCTTAGGGCGTTTTTTCTACATATCCCAACTTGTAACGACTTACGTACAACACAGCACCTGAGTCATATCCCGTGGGTCTCGCTTTACCCCTTTATTTATTTCCTTGTTACTCTTCGCGTGCATTCACTCAATTTAATATCTTATCTATAACGATAATCATGACATTGTTCAACCCTTTTTAAACAATTAAATAGACTTTTGTTTAAAAAAAAATGTGCGTGGGTTTTTTAGTGAATATGAACTCATAAAGTCATTTTCAGTATGATTTTCTTTTTTTTATACAACAACCAAACCTTTAGTGAGGTTCTTGCTGGCTATCTACTCTAAATATTATGTATAAATGTAATTTATTTATTTATTTGTATCACTTAAATAAATTTATTTATTAAAGCAAAATTATTTAATAATTTTGGTAAAAAAAAAATAATACCATTATACTCGTAATACCGACACCGCTATTGGTTGTTATGGAAATGCAGTTGTGCATTAGCGTAGCGCGAACTTACTTAAATATGGGTAAAGATGCTGGTATATCAGTAGATACCCGTTTCCATGCAGTTGTCGTGTGCCAGATTTGCATAAAGTGCTATAATCCCCCTAAATTGCTAATTCACCTGGGCGCCATTTTGGTGGTAATTGCATTAAAAAATCAGTACCGTTAACAAATAAACACTGGTTGACGAGTGTTCTTATTAAGTTGGGTTGTTTTTTTTGTTTGGTTGTTTTCACTACAAACCTAATTTATGTGAAAATAAATGTATCTTATGTTTTACATTTGTCCTTTCCGTTTGTTCTCGCGTTATTACAAAGTAAATAACATTTAATTTCACCTTTTCACAACATATAATTTCACATTTGCCAAAAAATTATACAATAAATTAACAAACTAAAAGTTTAATTATTTTAACAATACTTTGGGGATTATTTATATATATTTCAATAATAAATAAAAATAATATCACTTGCATTTTGTGCTATCTATACTTTCTATTTTTAAATGACGTCACGCGGATGTTATTAGATAAGGTTACAGCGCATTAGCAATTTCGAGTCTCACGGTCAGTTGCACAAATGTCCATTAAGGTTTAATGACACCTTTATGCTCTAATGAATGTCAAATTGGTATGGGTGATGTTGCTTCAATTAAACTAATGAACATTTTAAAGGACGTTTGTGCAACTGACTGTTTGCTAATATTTGTTTTTGGCGGGTAAGATTATTGTAAAGAAGTGTAAAACTAATATAATACATATTAAATAACACCGCTATAATACCGCTACCGCTCTTGTCGAGTAGCAGCCTAAATGACTCACACATTATAAGGCCAAAGTGTCGTTTGTGCTGTGGTTTAATTCGTTAGGAACGTCGACTAATTCATTGTATTGTGCACTAAATAAGAGGCGAAGTATATTTTTATTACATCAATTATGTCTAATCGTAATTCCTTAATTATTTTAATTTTGATTCAGTAGTAGTTTTAGGATTTATTATTGATAAATCGGTATTTATATTATACTGGGCAAAGATTTGATTATTTGTTTGCATTGAATAGGTTACGAAACTTTTTTTCACCCACTGGATGCTATCACACTCGGGTAGCATAGCCTATAATTTATACGGACGTCGCGGGTATTTGTTCCAGTAAGAAGTATAATTGCATGGTTTGATTATTATTAAAAAATTTTATACTTTTACTTTGAAATTGTGTACTCTATAAACAAAAAAATATCGCTGTCTTCATGAATACACACAATTACATATTTAACAAAAAAAGACATTACACATTAATTATAATTTAACTCAGAGTGCACCCGGTGTGGTGTCCAAAAGGTGTCACCTCGACATGTATTACAAATAACTGCAACG